TATTAATTCTATAACATTAAAGTACATGTTATAAATTCTATTATAGTAACTAAACACTTTTCAGTGCTAGTTCTAATAAAATAATAATTCTAACAATATCAGAAATTATTTACATTAATAATAAATATAGTATCTATTTTACATACTTATTATCATCAAATAAGAACTAGATAAATAATTAATTAAATGTACTAATTAAAACAAAACATAGTAATATTAAATAATGATAAAGGATAATATCTAGATGAATGAAATGTATTTATAATGAATTGATATGATGAATAATCAATAATCAAATATTGACTAAATAATAGAAGGTAATAGTATTTAATTAAAATAAGAAGAGACTTATTTAATAAGGAAATGAAGTATTACAATAATTGTTGATATAATTCAATTAAGAATAGATAGAATAAGTATAAATAAACATAAAATGGATATATTGAACAATAGTATTTGAATAAGATTAATGAATAAACAAAATATACTATCAAAATAATTCATTGTAATAATTTTAATTAAAAATGAAAGAAAAATACAAGTGATATAATAAAATGAAGTAAAATTATAAACAAAGGATTCAATAATATCTATAGCAATAACCACTTTAAAAATACTACAAATATTCACAATGAAATATAGACAAATGGTTGTGTTTATAATTTAAAAGAATAAACAGAACATGAACTACAAGATGAGAATAAAATAAGTATATAAACGTTATTTATAACAAATTAGAAACTAAAAAAGAAAGAAAAGAGATTCACAAAGAAAGACAAAAATAGAAAGACAAAAATAAGAAAAAAGAAAAAAGAAAAAAGAAAAGATGAAAAGAAAATCTAAAAAATAAAGAAAATGACCCAAGAAGATTATGATTTCCTTTATAAGAGTTTGTAGTTAATAAAGATTTAGTTTATAGTAAAATGAATAACTTATACATGTAGTTGTTTTAATAGGAGAGAGTGGAGTTGGAAAGTCTAACTTACTGTTAAGATTTACACGAAATGAATTTGATGCAGAAAAACGATCGACTATTGGAGTTGAATTTGCCACACGCTCAATTCAACATGAAGGGAAAGTCATTAGAGCACAAATTTGGGATACTGCAGGACAAGAAAGATATCGAGCCATTACAAATGCATATTATAGAGGAGCAGTTGGAGCATTAGTTGTTTATGACATTACAAAAGAAAATACATTTAAATCTATTGAACGATGGTTAAGTGAATTAAAAGATAATGCCGATCCAAAGATTGTTATAATGATTATTGGGAATAAAGCAGATCTTGCTCAAACAAGAGAAGTTGAAGAAGCAACTGCCAAAGAGTTTTGTCAAAAACAAAATCTCTTTTTCTTTGAAACATCTGCTTTAGATGGTACTAATGTAGAAACAGCCTTTAAATCACTTCTAGTTGAAATTTTTAAACAAAATGCATCTGCTGTTGAAGAAAGTTCAAATGATAAACCAACTGAAAAACCTGATGTAGTTCCAATTGAACCATCTCCAAAAGAAAATAAAGGAGGATGTTGCTAAGTTTTATTACTTCGTTTAATTTTGTTTTGATTTTATTTTTGTACAATTTTAATTTCTCACTATTATTTCTGTGTCTTTTTTGTAATTTCATCACTTTTATTGATATCCAATAAATAAACAATACTTATTATGTTATTTATTAAAACTCTTTTTCTTATACATTACTTTTTATATTATTGAAATTGTTGATATTTCCTTTATTTTATTTACTCTTAATTTAAAAAACTCGATAGTATGTTTTATCATAATCATTATGTTTATTTCTTTTTAGATAATAAATGTTTTTTCTTGAATTATTAACAACTTGAATATTGTATAGTTATGAAATATAACTCTTATTAGAATCAAAAAGTCATTTTATCTTTGAAATAAAATCATTATATCCCATTTTTATTATCTTATTTATTTGAAATTATTTGAAAATTATTAAACTCAGTTCAATTAAATTTATTCTTCTATCTCCTATTTATTCTTTTTATATATATCATTATGAACTTATTAATTCATCACAATTTCTGATAACTATATATAAACTCTAATATTTCCTATCTATCAACAATAAATACTACTTATTTCATTTGTTATTTTAATCATACTTCTTCTGAAATATTCATAAGAATGTATATTCTTTCTATTTATTTTTAAATAATATTTTATTTATGGATTGACATATAAATTTCTTGTCATTATTGATTTGTTTATCATGATTTAATATGTATATTTTGATCTATTCATTCTTCTATTATTATTCTATTCATCATCATATTATTATTTAGATTTATGATATTTTATTTGTGTCTTATTATTATTTAAATGTTCATTATTATTTTATTATTCAAAAATAACATATTATTAAAATTCATTCATATTTCGTGTATTCTATTCTTTTGATTGAAACAAAATTCTTCTGTCAATAAAATACAAGTTAATTCATATTAATTTATTTTTAATTATTATCATTTAAAATAACTTTGGAATATTTTTATTAGATTCTAATAGTTTCTCTTTTCTTTTGAAAAAGAAATAATATTAATCTTTCTTATAATATTGTTTATATAAAAAGTATTATTTTATTATTTATTCATTTTCTAATTATTATGAATTTTCTGTTTGATTCATTTAAATATCTAACTCATTCATCTTACATATTGTTATATAATTATTTTTATCTTTAATTATGGATTGAAAATTTTACTATTTTAACATCTCATTTAATATGAATTTCCCATATTCTTGAAAATTATTGAATTAGTTATATTTCATATTTTCTAAATGTTATTATAAAATCATCTTATTCTGTTATTTATAAATACATTCAATTTATTATTTTAAATTTAATTGAAGTCTCATTTAATGTTAGAATATTCAATATTATTTTATCAACTATTATTAATTAAATAATACAATTTCATATAATGAGAAAAATCATCTGATATTCATATTTTGTTATTTGAAATACTTTATTCATTCATTTATTTTTGTTATAGTTATTTATTTTCTGTTTATTAACCAATGTTTTTAATTAGTTCTTATCAATCAAAAACATTTATATTTATTGTTATTTTATAGACTATTTAAAATTCTCATTTCTATATTTCTGACATTATTAATTTATTGTTATTTAATCATTATGTTCTACAATTCTTTATTTTTCTTTATTCTTTTTAATTTATGATATTGATTTCTCTGTTCATTATTCATTTTAGTATCTGTCTTCACACTCAATTGAATTTTATTTTACATTTAATATAAAATACAAATTTAATTTGATATACTATATTTTCAATATTAATATATTCTTTATTTGTTAATATTTATTCTATCTTACTCTTATTGTTAATAAAATTGTGCATTGATTAAATTAAGTTCTACAATGTTATCTTCTTTAATTGTTTGAAAAATTGAGTTTCTAATAATTGAAATCTAAGAAATAAATACATTATATTCTATATATTCAATAATTGATTCTGTCATTAATTGTCACTTTATACACATTTCATTCTCTTTATTAATTCTTATACACTCTATTCAATTTCATCTATTTTATTATTTGATCTTTAATTTATTCAATACATGAATCATTCGAGTGTTAAATAATCCATATTTCCATTATTTCTTTTTATTATATTCTCCAATCTATTAAATTTCCCATTATTTCTTTTCAATCTTTTTAATTTCACTATTTTTCTTATAAATATATTGTATTAAATATTTTCATCAATATAATAAATTATTTTATCAAGAATAACTCTATCAAGAGAATAATCATTTCATTTCTAATTATTCAACTCTTAAATATTCATACACTTTTTATTTGTTTTTTT